ACGCCTGATTTGGTTGAAAAATAGTGGAACTTAAAACATATAGGTAGAATTTGAAGTAATCCATTTTTTGTTGTTTCTACAAAGTAGGTACTAATTGATCAATAACTAGTACTTAATGACCGTTTTATGATTAAACTCAATTAAAAATATTTTAAATTTCATACAAACTAATGTGAGAGTGATTATAGGTCGTATAAACATCATTTTCGACTAAAATTTGGTGTTTTGTGTGTTTATTACAAGTGGTACTAAAAGCCCGATATCTGGTACTAAAACACCGAAAGCTAGTAATTTCTTACTCTAGGTCTGGTACCAATTATTGCAAATGTTGACCAAAGTTGAAGTAATCCATTTTTTGTTCTTTCTACAAAGTATGTACTAATTCATCAAGAACTGGTACTGTATAGAAGAAGTGGTATTATTATAGGTAAAATTGGTACCAATTTACAAAGCATGTACTGAAAATTTGAAAAATGAGTATTAATATCTCATAATGTTGGTACTTATGTGAAGAAAAACTTGTTTCAGTTTAGAAAACATAAAAAATCATACCATTTTTTTCCTTTCTACAAAAAGTAGGTACTAAATACGAGAAAAGAGTATTAATAGTGCATAAAGTTGGTATAGAATTTAAGAAAAAATGATACTAGTTTACACAAAATCACAAAAGACCAAACATCCACATTGTCCACAAAATAAAAAAGATCATCATCCATAAAACAAAAACATCCACATTGTCCACAAAATAAAAACCCCATCATCCATAAAACCAAAACATCCACATTGTCTACAAAATTAACAATCCCATCATCCATAAACCATCATCCATAAACCATCATCCAAACATTCGACATCTATTGTTCTAAGACAAAAGCCAAACCCGTCAACATAAACCATCATCCACAACATACACCAAAAAACCACATTCAAACATATTGTTCAAAACACAAGCCAAACATTGTCAACATGGAGGATTTCTCAAGATGCGAGCTGCCATGTGTGCTCGATAGCCATCACATTCTGTTCCCTCACCTTTGATCTGAATTTTCAATCACTATTAAATGAATTTTGTGTGCAGAACTTATATTTCCCTTTCATGAATATAAATCACTACCATTAAAAAAGAAAAAAAAAACATTTGAAAAATTGATATGCATTCAAATGTGTATTATAGTATACTACTACAACACTAAAACCCCATATAAGTTTCGGTTACCGACTGCTACTCGGTTCTACATTGTGGTGTTACCGAAATGTTCGGTTCCTTCAGAAAACCCAAGTCCCAACCTTGCAGTAGGTAGTTAATTCAGAGCATAATTTACAGAAAGCCGAATGGTCCTAACTAAAGCAATTACACTCATGAAGTAAAAGTCCACAAAACCCATGCCTATCAAGATTTTTGTGTCAAATCCATATATGTCATGTCTTCTACCTTGTGTCTAATTATTTTTTTATGATACAGTACACAATCTACCACATCAATGTTTACTAAAAATGTAACATACTAGGAAAAGGATTCATAATCATTAGACATGTAAAAACGGGCTGACGTCCGCAGCCCGCCGAAACTCGATGTTTGGCGGGGCGGGGCAGGGCTGGCTACTGAAGGCAGGCCCGGCCCATCCCCGCCACGGGCTGCGGGCTTGGCGGGCTGGCCTGCCTGCCCAATATATTTTCTTAAAAAAAAAAGAAAAAAAACCCACACATACTGAATCACAACACACACAAGATCAAAAGTGAAAGACCTGCGCACAGCCCCAATTCGTCCGCACAGAAAAAGGGCCTCAATTTCGGAGCAAACAAGAAATCAAAATTGGTAAACAATTTTTTTGTTCTTTTGTTTTCCTCAACAACCTTGATCAATCTGTTTGAATCTCATTTGGGTTTCGTAAGAAAAAAAAGTTGAGACGGACGAAAAACAATTATGCACAGAATGAATGAAAACGTCGTCACTTTGTGCGTGACCATAAAAAGTAGAGACATGTGGCCAGCAGAAAAAAGCTACATGGGTTTTTCACAGAGCAAGCAAATGCAGATGAGGAAAAAATAATTGTGCTTTCAGAGGTCGTAAATTCAATTAATGGAGCAAATAAATAGGAAATTGCTTTGAAGATTTCTCAAAACCCAAAATAACCATAATGCGACAGATAGAAAGGGAAAAGCATAGAGTAATCCTAAAAATCCTCTAACTCAAATTCTTAAAGAAACCTAATTCAAAAATATATCAAAATAAAAAAAAATGATGAACCCTACACAAGCAAAGAGCCCTAAATTATCAATAAATTTCATAATTTGTGAAATGTAAGTCAAATACGAAGTTCATTATCATCAATCAAATCCCAAATTTTGAAAAATTTTGAATTCAAGAAAAAAGAAATCAAAATTTTGTTAAAAAAAAAACCCCCAAATTGAAATTATAAAAATCTTACCTTGTTTAAGAGACGAACATCGACGGAAAAAGAGAGGTAGAGAGACGAACGACGGCGAAAAAAAGAGAGAGACGAAGGCAATGGAAATTCACAGAGAGAGACGGCGATGGAAATTGAGAGAGAGACGAGAAAATGAGAGAAGGCTGAAATTTTTTCTAATTTTCTATGATTTTTCAGTAAAAATAAATGAATAATAATAAGAGTAGTATAGATATGGGGAGTGATTTGGAAAGAGATATTAGATATAGGGAGTGCAGAGAAAGTAAAAAAGAGGTGGGGACTGACAAGGAAATTGATTAAGGCATTAGGGATTTATCTTGAATTTGCCGTTCTTTTTATCCTAGTGCACCCAAGCTGCCTAATTATGACGTCACAAGTATCCAACACGCATGTTGTGCACATTGCGCGGTCGAAATGAGCATGTGAGGATAGCTCACGGTCTATAGCCGAGTGCTGCACCTGTAGGATGTTAACCGAACTCGTGCTTCGAATGCTATGTAGCGCTGAACTTGACCGAGTGTTTATCTGATCCCGATCACTCAGTATCTCAATTTATTCTATAGATTATACCATCTCTTACTTATATATTTTTTCACGGTAAAATAGTTTTTATAATTATTTTTTAAGTTTTTTGTATACAAAAAGTATAACCTTAAAATCAATACAAAAAATATTTTTCTTGTAATATCAAAGCATGCGAACTCCTTTAAGGATGAGATAGGCTATAATGATTCTTTTAATTTCTTTTTTTTTTTTGTCTCGTTTGTAAATGGAGATACAAATGTAGAAAGTCGGTTATTTAAGAAAATGAGGTAAATTTGATATTGTCAAAGAATATAAAGTAACAAAAATAAATAATAACGAATTAAAAAACCGGTTCGGAAAATTTTCTCTCGCGAAACTTCCTCTCTCAGAAAAACCCTCTTTGCCGTCGACTTTCTCTTTCGATTTGAAGCTGTCCGCTCTCCTCCGCAGGCATCGAGCTTAGCCGGCGGTTGCTGGCCCCCAGTTATCTGGTTCTCGCCCCTTCTTTTCTGCTCCACTGCCCGATTTCCATGGCTCAGGCCCTCGTCTGCTGCGGCTGGGTTTCTTCCTTCCGGCGCCTGTTTGTCAATTTCGGTTGGGGGTTGCTCTGTCGTGTGGTGGTGGAGCCGTTGTGCGGTTCCTGGGGCGGGACACAGCTTGATTGCACGGCGAATTGTTTGCTGGGCGACCGGGGCGGTGAAGTTACTCAAAGCCATCCCTCCTTGTACTCGTTTTCTGGGTCAATTGGGGCTGTTGCGTCAGTTCTTCCTCCAGTGAGGCTGGTCGGGGTGTTGTTGCGGCAGGACGGTGGTTGTTGGGTAGCTGCCAGACGATTTCGGGGTCGAGGCTGGGGCTGCGGCCTTCTTTTGCCTGCTCGGGGCACTTGGGTGTTGTGGCCGTGGTGCGAGTCGGCCTATTGTGGTTCCAGAGTTGGGGGTTCGTCTCCGTTAGGCACCCGAGGGGTTTAGGCAGTTTCGGGGTTGATGCTTCTAGCTTTGGGATCCGTGGTTGACTGGTTTCCAATGGTTTGGATCGGTGTTACTGTGTAGGAGGGGCTTGTTTAATTTGTGTTGTTTTGTTTTGTTCATAGATTTGTGATTTTGTGTGTTGTTTTGCTGTGTTTTTTGTATGGGTCATTGGCATCTGTGGACCTGAGTGTCAACTTATTCTCCTGTTGGGAGCAGACACTCGGGTATTACCCCGTTGGGGTCCTTTTAGTTTCTTAGTGTATTCGTGTGTTAGTGTTCTTTTTGTTAGTTTGTTTACCCCGTTGGGGTCGGATCTAGGCGGTCATAGACTGTCCTCCCACTTTTCAGCTGTTGGCTGTTCTCATTCAGCTAAGAGCTGCTTGTATTTGCACATTTGTGCGCTTTTTATTTATAATAATATCTGTCGTTTCGAAAAAAAATAAAAAACTAAAATTTAAAGTCTGTTTATATCTAATCGTTCTTTTTCAATTTTATGTGCTAAATGATTTGAAGTTATTTTCAGCTTATACCCTCAGTATATAACAAGAAAGTAGCAATACAGCAGAGCTTCACTATAACTTGCATGTATTTGTCCGTCTTCAAAATAATCCATAAAATCTTCAAATTCATTCTGTAAATAGTTAAATTACACAATATTATTATCACATTACATAAAAATANGCTTCTCTGACAGTGAATCCCACCGTCAGGTTGTCATTTTTAATTGAAACTGATGAGAATAGGATAACCCCGCACGCATCGAAGTCTAAGTTCCAACTCTTGCCAAGTCAAAGAATGAACAAGTGTGTCAAACAATAATTCTATTTTACACTCTTCACCTCCCCCTCCCCCAGTACCATACTTCTCCACCCAAAAAAAAGTCCACTTCTCACAAATTCTTCAAACTAAAATCGATTTTGAATTCAATCAACAAGCTCTAATAGGGTAGGCAATTTGTTTAGTTTCACACGCCACTATACACGTCTACGCACACACACACAGACACAAAGAATTATCCCTATTAATACATCACACATATTCAGGATCTTCTCATCATCTTCTCCACAAACCACACCATATGAAGACAACAACGCTAATAATCCTGTGCATACTCCTCTCCCTCCTCTCTCCCACCCTCCTCTCCGCCTCTGAAAGATGCAACCCAAATGACAAAAAAGTCCTCCTACAAATCAAACGCGCTTTCAACAACCCATACCACTTGGCCTCCTGGGACCCCGCCACCGACTGCTGCACGTGGTACGTCGTGGAGTGCGACTCCAAAACCAACCGCATCAACCAGCTCCACCTCTTCGCCGCCAACGTCTCCGGCCAGATCCCGGCCGCCGTCGCCGACCTCCCCTACCTCGAGCTCCTCACCTTCCACAAAATCACCAATCTAACCGGCCCAATCCCCAAAGCCCTCACCCGTCTCGCAAATCTCAGATCTCTCACCATCAGCTGGACCAACGTCTCGGGCCCCGTGCCTGCATTTCTCGCCGACCTCAAAAACCTCACGTCTCTCGATTTGTCGTTCAATCAACTGACCGGCCCGATTCCTCCAGATCTGGCCCGGCTCAGGAATCTAAACGGGCTGAGATTGGACCGGAACAGGCTCACGGGCCCAATACCCGACTCGTTCGGTAAATTGACTCCGAGCCTGCAGTATCTGTACCTCTCCCATAATCAGATCTCGGGGAATGTGCCCAGAGGTATGGGTAATTTGAATTTCACGTTGATTGAGCTACAGAGGAACAGGATCGAGGGTGATATATCTTTCTTGTTCGGCAAGAATAAGACGGTACAGATTGTTGATTTTTCCAGGAATATGTTGGAGTTTAATCTGTCTAGCGTGGAGTTTCCGGATAGCTTGACGAGCTTGGACTTGAACCATAATAGGATTTACGGGAGCCTGCCGGCAGGGCTGGTGAATTTGGCTTCTTTGTATTTGAACGTGAGCTATAACAGGCTGTGTGGTCGGATTCCAGTTGGGGGGCGACTGCAGGAGTTGGATTACACTTCGTATTTTCACAATAGGTGCTTGTGTGGGGCGCCATTAGGGGCTTGCTGATGGTCCCCTGCAGAAAAAAAGATTTCGGTGGAATCGTGAAAAAAGATTGATTTGTGACATTATCCCACTACCAACTACATCTTCTTATTATTTTATTATTTTTCTCTCTCTCCACTACTACCATTCTTAATTTTTTATTATTCTTATTTCTCTCTTTTTACACATTTTTTATTATTTTCTTTTTTCATCTTTTACTATTTATCTCACCTACAATTATTTTTTTTTTAATTTCTTATTATATTTAAAAATAAATAGAATACATATTTATAACAATTAATATATAAATTAAATAAAAAAAATAAGAGCAGTATATGGTAAATTAAAAAAAAAAAAAGAAAAATCTACTTTGGTCAACCAATATGAATTACTTTAATTTTGGTCAATGTTTGTAAAAATAGTACTACTCCTAGAGTTAGACAGTACCCATTAAATGGTAGTTTAGTACCCAATATCGCGCCTTCAGTACCAATTCTAATGAACATAAAAAAAAAAAAACATCGAATTTCGGTCTTAAATGATGTTTACATTACATAATCACTTATACATTAGTTTCTATGAGTATTTGAATATGTTTAACTAGGTTTACTTGACAAGTGGTCATGAAATCAATAGAGCTTTAATTTTGAAATTTAGAATTATTTTGATTTTATTTTTAGGTAATTTTTATTTTATGGAAACAAATTTGTCTTTTAATTTTATATAAATAAAGATCATTCCTTAATATATCCACAACAACAACATTCCATAATTATTGCAATTAAAATCACTTAGGCGAAACATTCCATTTATGAAATTGATAAACATAATATATCACGCATTAAATTGGTTGAAATTCTATCACAGTACTTATTTGTTTTCTTTTAAAAAATAAATGATGTGCTTAATTTTTAACAAATAAATATTTAAAATTCTGATCTTTTTTTACCGCACGGGTTTCACAATAAATAATATAATCTCGCCTTAACGGCTATTTATATTGAAATTATATTCCTGTTAGTGTTTTAAAATGTTTACAACGTAATTCGTCGCGTTTTGGCTCTTACACTACTCAGCGTAAGTAGGAATTCTTGTTGCGTAAGCTATTAGAGTATAAAATTTTGTTTGTTAGAAGTATCAAATATTTGCATATAATAAAATTGGGTTGTTAATTTAAAAAAATATTTTAATAATATTATATGACACTAAATTTTAGAATACGATAACAGTTGAGTATTATGATTTAATAAAATGAGGACGGTTTTATTTTAACATAAAATGTTCAAATTTAAATTATATGAATTTTATTTGGTACGGATAGAAGTGTATTAAATTTTGAAAATAAAATAAGTGTTATGAATTTTATTTGGTATGTGTATGAAAAATCAAATTTTAGGTTGATTTGTTATAAAATCAAGGTGATTTACTTCTCAATTTTTAGTATATTCCTGCAATAACTTGTCATAAGATATTAATAATAATTTTGTAAATCACCCCTATATATAACGATTGAATGCCCTGAGCCTAAGTGACAGACTCATAAGCTTCAGAAATTTATTTGGCATAATTATATGCTTTGTATTGACACATGTACATGTTCGGTCTTATTCTAAAATTTAGTGTCATAATATTATTAAAATATTTTTTTGATATTTCTAACAACCAAAATTTTATACTCTAATAACTTACGCAACACGAATTTCTATTTACATTGCGTAGTATAAGAGCCAAAACGCGATGACTTATGTTATAAACATTTTAAAGCACTAAAAGAAAATATAATTTTAATATAATGATCGTTAAGGCAAGATTATATTATTTATTATGAAACCCCGTGCATAAAGAAAGAATACAATTTTAAATATTTATTTATTGAAAATTAAGCACATCATTTATTTTTTAAAAGAAAATAAACAAATATTATGATAGGATATCAACCAATTTAATACATGATATATAATGTTTATCTGTTTCATATATGGAATGTGTCGCTTAAGTGATTTTAATTGCAATAAATATGGAGTTGTAGATATATTAAGGGATGATTTTTATTTATATTGAAATTAAAAGACAAATTTGTTTCCATAAAATGAAAATTACCTAAAAATAAAATCAAAATATTTCTAAATTTCAAAATTAAAGCTCTATTGAGTTCATGACCACTTGTCGAATAATCTTAATTAAACACATTCAAATACTCATAGAAAATAATGTATAAGTGATTTTGAGTAATATAAACATCATTTATGAACGAAATTCAATGTTCTTTTATGTTCAATGGAATTGGTACTGAAGACGCGATATTGTGTACTAAACTACCATTTAAATTATGCAAAATTATATAAAATATGTCTATTTAAAATTAGTACACAACTCGTATGGTGTACATAACTGATAATAAGTTACATTATTCCATTTCAAAATAAGTGTCATTTTAAAATTTTTTATTCAAAAATTCAATTTGAATACAATGTGGTTCCATTAAATAAATATTTTGGTAAAATTTTTATCATATATTTAAAAATATATGTGAATAATAAGTATATTATTACTGAATTATGTTTTTATTATATTTGTTATAAAATAGTTTATGTTGTATTCATATTCTCGAAATTAGTTTTTGGATAAATATAGTCTTATTTATAATGATAGTGTAATTATTTTTATTTTATATATGCAATATGGATGTTAATCGAAGATCGTTAAATTATGATTATTTTGAGATGTAATATACAAAAAAATAAAATAAAAATAAAAAAGTTATATTGATGTAAAAATAAAAGAATACATAATTATATCAATTATTATATGAATTAAATGATGAAGGGTGTCATTCAATGAAATGAAGTGTATTAGTAGTGTTTTCTCATTAGTGTGTCGAGTTCATGACTATTTTACGATAAAACTCAATTAAAAACATTTTAAATCTCATATAAACTAATGTGAGAGTCATTATGGGTCATATAAACATTATTTGAGACCGAAGTTCGGTGTTTCTATGTGTTCATTACAAGTGGTACTGAAGTCCCAATACCAGGTACTACAACATTACAAAACTGGTACTATCTAACTCTATGTTTGGTACTACTTTTTATAAATGTTGACCAAAATTGAAATAATCCATTTTCGTTTACAAAAGTACGTACTAATCGATCAAAAACAGGTACCACGTAGAAGAAGATGCGGTACTATTTTGTCTAAAACAGGTACTATTTTAAGAATCGTGATTTCTCTAATCCTTCATGTCTACCATGGCACGTGGATCGTTCATGCGTGATTTGGATGAAAAATAGTGGAAGTTAAAACATATAGGTAACATTTGGAGTAGTCATGTATGATGATTCTATGAGCTGAAGTGTGTCATTGAATGAAATGAAGCGTACTAGTAGTGTTTTCTCATTAGTGTGTCGAGTTCATGACCAATTTGCGATTAAACTCAATTTAAAACATTTTAAGTCTCATACAAACTAATGTGAGAGTAATTATTGGTCATATAAACATCATTTGAGACCGAAATTCAGTATTTTTATATGTTCGTTACAAGTGGTACTAAAGACCCAATATCTGGTACTAAAACACCGAAAGCTGGTACTATTCTATTCTAGGTCTGGTACCAATTATTGCAAAGTTGATCACAATTGTTTAATCCATTTTCGTTGACCAAAATTTGGTACTAATTGATAAAAAACAGGTACCACGTAGAAGATGATGCGGTACTATATTGGCTAAAACAGGTACTATTTTAAGAATCTTGATTTCTCTAATCCTTCATGTCTACCACGATACGTGGATCGTTCACGCCTGATTTGGATGAAAAATAGTGGAAGTCAAAACATATAGGTAGAATTTGGAATAGTCATATATGATGATTCTATGAGATAAAGTGTGTCATTCAATGAAATGAGGTATATTTGTAGTGATTTCTCATTAGTATGTTGAGTTTGTGACCAATTTGCGATTAAACTTAATTAAATACATTATAAATCTCATAGAAAATAATGTGAGAGTGATTATTGGTCATATAAACATCATTTGGGATCGAAATTTGGTGTTTTACGTGTTCATTACAAGTGGTACTAACGTCTCAATATCTGGTACTAAAACACCGAAAAATGGACTATCTTACCCTAGGTCTGGTACCAATTATTGCAAATGTTTACCACAATTGCATGATCTATTTTCTTTGACCAAAAGCTGGTACTAATCGATAAAAAACAGTTACCACGTAGAAGAAGATGCGGTACTATATTGGCTAAAACAGGTACTATTTTAAGAATCGTAATTTCTCTAATCCTTCATGTCTACCATGACACGTGGATCGTTCACGCGTGACTTGGATGAAAAATAGTGAAAGTTAAAACATATAGGTAGAATTTTGAGTAGCCATGTATGATGATTCTATGAGATGAAGTGTCTCATTCAATGAAATGAAGTGTATTTGTAGTGATTTCTCAGTAGTGTGTTGAGTTTGTGACCAATTTGCGATTAAACTTAATTAAACACGTTATAAATCTCATAGAAAATAACGTAAGAGTGATTATTGATCATATAAACATCATTTGAGACCGAAATTTGGTGTTTTATTGTGTTCTTCGGAGTTGGTACTAAAGACCCGATATCTGGTACCAAAACACAGAAAATTGGTACTATCTTTCTCCAGGTCTGCTACCAATTATTGCAAATATTGATCACAATTGAATAATCCATTTTCGCTGACCAAAAGTTGGTACTAATTCATCAATAACTGGTATTGCGAAGAAGAAAATGTGGTATTATTTGCGTCAAAACAGGTACACTATTTTACAAAAATCAGTTTTTTNAGAAGGAGTGTTATTATTTGTTGAAAAACGGGTACCATTTTACGAGATTCGTTTCTTTTTTTATGTTCGTCAGAGTTGGTTGAAAATATTAATGAATATAGGTAGAATTATTAATTAATATACTAAACGGATTGTTCACGCATGATTTGGTTGAAAAATAGTGGAACTTAAAACATATAGGTAAAATTTGAAGTAATCTATTTTTTGTTCTTTGTACAAAGTAGGTACTAATTGATCAATAACTGGTACTGAATAGAATAAAAGGTAGTACTATTTGTTAAGATATACGGTATACCAATTAACATGTATTATGTGTGGTACATTAGGACGTCATATTAATCATAAGCCATATTGGGTTATAATCCAGTTACATTATTTAACGTTTATGTTGATTATTTACTAACATAGTGTTTATAATGTGTAGATGAATATAACATGCACAGTATATTAAATACCTGTGTTGATCCAATGATGATAAGAGTGATACAAACTTTGATACTAAAATCAACAAGTACAACTTGGACCCACCAACTGGTGCAAGTATGCCTTCGACGTTACAAAAATGAAAGTAGATGATAAAAATGCAAAACGTAAACAACATAAAAACACAGAAAATATGTCCCACGAACCACCTGAAACTTTCAACACAAACACTATACCTAAGATCCAACACAGTATATGACCAAATCCACCCACACAAAGAACACACAATCTTGAAAAAAACACACAAAATAAACAAAGAATCTCAATCATATCAAAACAAAAATTTAACAGAAAAAAATAACATATCTCACTTCACCCGAACTAAATCCAAATCCAAATCCAAATCCTTCTCCGAATCACCCGGTACCCACCAAACCCTCACACTTCTATCCACAATCCCACAATACAACAAGAAACCACCCCCAACCCTTGATGGCCCAGCCCGCATGCACTTCACCGGGCCCTCGTGCCCCCTGATCACCAAATGTTGGGCCAAACCCCCTCCCACTTTTTCCGTCCTCCAAACACACATACTCGAATTAGCCGACCCACTGCACAAAAATCAGCCACCTTCCCCCATCAAACACACACACAAAACCGCTATTTATGCCCCTTTACTTTACAAACCACTTTCCAACAGTTCAAACCTTCATTATTACCCGACCACCCCATTATAAACCCGTTCGAACATCCTCCATACACGAACCTCCCGTCCTCACTAACTGCCACCGAATTCAAAGACACGTCCTTTCGGCCCTCCAAAATCGCCTTAACCGAATGCCCTTCATTTTTCCTTACCTTACCCCAAACCTTAATCCTCCTATCCGCAGAGGACGAGTAAACAGACCCACTTCGGGCCACGAGCCCGTTTATGGCATCATCGTGGGCCTCAATGGACTCAATGCACCAGAAATCGGACAATCTCCAAATTTTGAGTGTCTTGTTATGTTCTCTACAAGCGCATCACATCGATCCGCAGCCCCTCGTCCATTTTCCACACAAATTACCTCACTTTCCTCACCATGGCCCCCTCCTCCACCCCAGTTTCCCTCTTCGGACCACCGGATATCTACACACTACCGGCCGCCGCCTCCCCCTCCACATCGAAGAAAAATCCATTCATGGACCACATCCAGATGGTGGCTAATTTCAACAATTTCGGGCCAATAGGCCTGACGGAGAATCACTCGCTGACGTTTCTCTCCTCCGGCGAAACCTGTCTCGATTTCTTCTTCAACGTTGTCCCGAAAACGCCTTCAGAATCCCTCGTCCATCGCCTGGGAGCACGACCCGTTAACGGCGTTGAAGCTAATCTGCAATCTCCGAGGGGTGAAAGGCACCGACAAATCCACCCGGCAGGGCTTCTACACAGCCTCCCCATGGCTGCACGAGAACCACCCAAAAACCCTAGCTGGAAACTTGGAATTCAAGAAAAAATTCAAAATTTTGAAAAAAATCCCCAAAATTTCGAATTGAAGAAAAAATTCAAGGTTGTTGAAAAAAATCCTCAAAATCTTACCGTGCTTACTGCTTTGGACGAGGAGGACGGTATTGTCGGATGGAGGGCAAGCTTCCCAGAAAATTGGCCGGCTTCAGAGAGAGAGACGAATACGATATGGAATTTTGAGAGAGAGACGAGCAATGAACGAAGAGAGAGAGCAGAAATGAAATAAACAATTCTAATTTTTTATGATTCAAGTAAAATAAATGAATAATAATAACCTTACTTTATATATGGGGGAGTAAAATAGAACGAGAAAATTAGGGGGAGAGAGTGCAGATGAAAAAAATTAAGAGGGGGACTGATTTGGAAATTGAAAAGAGGAGGAATTTAAGTAGAATTTTCTGTTTATTTTTTAATTTCATGAAAATTGGATAATATAATATTTAAAATAATGAATATCATATTATTTTATATTTAAGTAATCGATGCATGGTGGCCGAAAAAATTATTCAATTTTTTATTATGTAAAATTACTAATTTACCTTTATAAACTTCTGAATTTTATTGGAAAAGTTAAAATTTTGTCCAAAGTAATATTCGAATCTGGGTTGCAAGGGAATGACATGGGCCACATGGCAATTAAACCACTCGCTCACAAAGATGCGTGTGTAGATTATTGAACACAACAATCTTTATCATATAATAGCAAAACAATGTAAATAAAATAAAAATTAAGTAAAATAAATAAAATAAAATTGTAACAGGTAAATTTAATATGAATTATATAAAAATAATGATAATAATAATAATAATAGTATAATTACTTTCAATAAATTAAATTAAAATAAAAATAATGAAAAAATAAGTTAAAATGTAGTAAGATAATTTTTTTTATATAGTAACATGAATTAAATTAAATTTAAATAAATTTATATGTCTTTTATTTAAAAAATAAAATTAATTTTAGGAGTATGAAAATGTAAAATAATGATAATAAAATTAAAAGAAAAAATAAATAAAATTAAAGTAAAATAGTTAAAATGAAAAAGTAATATGATATAAGATATTAAAGTACAAGGCAAAATCTAGTAAAGTAAAATAATAAATCAAGTAATTTATTATGAAAAAATAAATTACAATAAAATAAAAATATTACTACAACAAAATATATCATATAAACTAACATACTATATGAATTAAAAAGTTAAAAACAAATTATCATTTTTATTAAGTTAGTTTAACTACAAATAAATATTTTTAGTTTCTAAATTGTGTAGTAAATATTATTTTAGTTTCATTCATTGTCTTAATTAAAACAAAAATGAAATTTGATAAAATATAATGAAATAAATAATAATACAACATAATAATATGGAACAATATAATTTAAAATAAATAATAATAAATAAAAATAGATAAACATAATGTACAATGAATATAATAAATATTATTATATATATATATTTTATAATTATTTATAGTTAATTTAATTATATTATTTTTATTTAATTTTATAAATTTTAATTTATTATATTTTAATTTATTATAATATTATATTTTATTGATTCAATATAATATAATATACATTGTCTTTTAAATTTAATTTGACTTATTCATATGTAATGTTGGTATATATTAAACGTTGTTAGAAGTAACACTTAACCTGAAGTGGTGTGGTAGTGTGAGAGAGCTTACATGCGCCTTGTGATCCTTGGTTTGAACTATGAGGCAATTTTTTCGTCTAATTTCTCACAATATTTTCAAAATATCGTGCTAAATTCAGTTTATCGTATATATATATATATGTAAAGATCATATGAGAATGACTCTTAATGCGAGAAATGAGAATGTACCTGGATCATTGGATCTACTACTTCAATGGTCATGATGAAGTCAAAATTAATTAAAAATAGTCAATCATTAATGACAATCTGGTAATTGTTTGATTATAGTATAGTCAAATATGTGCATTTGACCAATAAGTAAGGATAAATTGGTCAATACACATATATAATATTTGTACGGGACCCACACACCAATTAATACCTTTTTCTCTTTCCTCCCCTTTCTTCCTCACACCTTTCTCTTTCCTCACCCCTTTCTTCCTCACTTCCAGACAAAATCTGCAAAAAAAAAAAACACACACACACACACAGACTCACTCGAACACAGACGGCAGCCATCACCAATAGATTCGCTGGAGAAAGCCTTCACACAGCAAACCGCCGCCGCCATACCCGCCTTCGAAGCCGCAGCCCGGGGCGGCCGTACGCCGCCAGAGAGCTCCGGCGTGTTCCACGTCGTCGAAATGTCCTCCGGCGCGGCCGAATAGAGGAGAGTTGACGTCGTGACCGATGGATGAACGCCGATGGGGGCGCAGTGACCGACGAGTAGGCTGTGGACAAGCAGTCTCGCCGAATTCCTCTCGCATAACTCCTCCGCGCCGCCCCATTCTCGTCGGCGTCGATTCTCTGGTGACGGAGGTCGGTGGCGGCGGAGATGGCTGGCTGTGGAGAAGATGACGGGAGAGTTGCAGCTTTTTCAATTGAGGACTTGAGTTTGTGAATTAGATAAATAGTAAGGATTTTATTGCAATTTTAGAAACTTTAATATATTACAATTTAGAATATGGGTCAAAATTGTAATTAGTCAAACTATTCCTTCAAAAGCTCCGAGTTTCACAAGAACTGAAAGACATTCTAAAATCACTTGCATTCAAACTGATTATGTCAACATTTTTATATGATTTTTTTTTTTCGCTATAAAAAAGGAGAATATTTTTATGTAATGTTTAGTTGAAAATAAATAATATTGTAATAATATTGTACATAAAAATATATAAAGAAAAATATAATAATATTTTTACATAAATTATATTATTTAATATAAAAATCATGATTAGTATTTATTTTCTTGTTTATTTGATACTTCATAATATGTTTTGATTAAAAAAAATAGTACATATGCAAACAAAAAATACGGTGCAATCTAACTGTTAATAAAGTGCAATTTGTCTAACAATATGGTGCATGGTGTCGGTCTGTATTGTGCAGATTGTACCGACCAAAATTTTGTCCAAAGATCAAATTAAAATTAACATAATCGATTGAGTTATTCGGTTCGGTTAACTGAATTATCTCAAATAATTGAAATAATCTTTTTCATTTATATCAAATTATGTTTAATATGTTAATAATTTTATTTAATAGTTTTATATTATTTTAAGTTTAAATTTTTTTAGTTATATCAGCTTCGATTTCTATTGTGAAATCTAATAGCATGCTAAAGTGCAGCGTGCTGTGTTGTAAAGTGCAATGTATTGTGTTTTAAAGTGCAACACGTTGATTTATAAAGTGCAACATACTAATGTATAAAGTGTACTACTGTAGGTTTGCTAGGTTATACTAATGTATAAACTATTATTATATAAAATAATACTAATAGTAGTAATCGAAACCAAATATAAATTTTCGTTCCAAATTTATGTTCGTTGGACTCGTTCAATTTTGTGCAATATGGTAGATGTTTATGTGCAATTAGTATAACCATTATGTGCATTCGCAATACATATAATAATATATATAAAAAAATAGTATAAACTTTTATTAATATATATAAATTAAAAAAAAAAATGGTAATATTTTTCATATAGTTCGTCATGTTCAGTTATTTTATTTATTTAAAAAGACTAAATTCGACATTTAACCAATTAATTTATTCAATCGATTAGCAAAATTACCATATTTTTTGGTACACGTAGTGTGTCGTTTTATAAGTTGTACCATGTCGTGTTATAAGGTGCAATGTATTTCCATATACAGTGCAACATATTGATGTATAAAGTGCAATTATGTAGATATACTTTTTAGATTTATACTGCGCAATATTTTCGGCGAGAGTTGCCGACGTTAATTATGTTGATAAAGTGCAACGTGTTGTTTAATAAAGTGCAACATCCCGCTGTATGACGTGCATTAATTAATAAATTGTGTGTACTCGAAAACTATTTAATTTATATAATTGTACATTGAATTAACTTAAATAATTAAAATATCTTTTTATTTACTATTTTTTATTATATAATTTGCTCATTACTATAAAAAAATTTTATGCTATTTTAATATTTTACATTATTGTTATTTAATAATTTATTTATTATTTATCGTTTTTTAGATTTATACCGCGTAATATTTTTGGCGGGAGTTGTTGACGTTACTTATGTTGATAAAGTGCAACGTGGCGTCTGGTAAAGTGCAATGAGTTGTTTTATAAAGTGCAACATTTCGCTATATAAATTGCATTAATTTATGCCTTCCCATATAAATAATTTGCATTCGAAAACTACTTAATAACTATAATTGTACATTGAAATAATTAAATAATTAAAATATATTTTATTTATTATTTTTATTATATAATTATTTATTATTATAAAACATCTTTATATTATTTTAATAATTTTGCATTATCTGTATTTCATAATTTATTTATTATTTAATATGTGCACATATTTTTTTACTAACTTTAAATAATTACAGATTTAGCCCATAGGTTAAATTGAAATATAATTAAAAGTGATAATTGCAAATAGGTCCTAATACATAACCTAATTCTCAAAAGGATGTCCAAATCACAAAATTCAATTTCAGTCTCCCATCTCCTCCCACACCGTTTGGAGCTGCAGACCTCATCTCCTCCACACCGATTTCCGGCGAGATGACTGGATCCAAGGTGACAGAGGTTGACGGAAGTTGGCAGGCAGGACGAGGTCGTCTTCTCCGACGGGACAGCTCGTCTTCTCCGGCGATATGAGCTCGTCTTTTCTGGCTGGACAACTCGTCTTCTCCGGCGATAAGAGGTCGTCTTCTCCAGCAGGACAGCTCGGACGTAACATGTGCACTGACGCGGTCGCCGGAGAAGCCGGAATCTGGTCAGGAAGAATTGCAGCTGGCGGTGATGTGTGGCAGAGTCGGGGTGGATGTGGGGCGGCGATGTGAGGCGGAGCTGGTGGAATTCCGGCCGGCGATGTGGTGGCGGCGGTTGCTGGTGGTTGCGGACCTTCGGTGTTGGTCGGCAGGTTGGCCGGCGACGGTACCAATGAGCACAGTCNGATAATTTGGTATTTTTTTATCCTTTAGATTGTCCGATCTAATGGTTAGGATGTATTCTTATTTCTCGCATTAAGGGTCATTCTCACCGGAGCGTGACCCTATATATATATATATATATATATATATATATATATATAATTCTCAGGCTATAACGGTTTATCACGATAAAGTAACAAGAAAAACGAAAAAAGTATGAATGTGCATCGGTTAGTTATATAAGGGAGTTTTACGCAAATTTTTAAATGTGGGGAAAAAAACGCACACTTCTAGTAAAACACTAATATTCGAGCTTGTACATATGCATATTATATTAAAATTATAAATTAGATAATGGTATTTTGTATTAAAAATAGAGTATTATAAATTATATTTATGCATATAATATTAAAATTATAAGTTAGATAATTGTATTATGTTTTATAATTTGATCATTGGTTAAAAGAAGAGGAATACACACGCGTGGAAGAGCTTGAAGAGGAAGATATCACGACGAAGGTAGAGAAACACAATTCCCAGCAAACGATGAGATCAACAACGACAACTCAAGATCATCACGTTTGGTCTACTAGGATGAAGGACTTTGTGATAAAGATTCTCCACCTCCAACTGATATTGATATTGTACTGATATTGTTGCTGGCCCTGTGTTAGAAAGCTTCTCAACTCAAAACAATCCCAATAATGAGTAGGAAAATGTTTCAGGTCATTCAGATCAATGACTATCAAGCGACGGTGAAAGCGAAATTCTCCAGGGAAGAGGACCTAATCGCGGTACTAGTGTTCCGTCAGATGAAAGTAAGCGAAGTCATATACATGTTGAACAAAATAGGTATGTTTCACATATTTTTTTATATAATTAAAATACATTTGTAGCATAATTTGTATTTTTAAATATATTTATGAATTTGCCATGATAAAAAAATATAGATTTCTAGACCCAGAAGTTCCACGCGATATAACGGCGACTTTGAAAGCATACTTGAATGGCCCATACCCTACATATAAGCATGTTCCCGGCCCGACAAAAGATGCACTATGGAAGAAATTCAATGTAATTTTTCACAATATAGTTAAATTTAAATTCATTTATGTCTTGTTTGATTGTCTTGGTACTAATTTATGGATTTTGCATGATTTTCATGACTACGAAATTAACACAAATAAAAAACTCCTCTCTTGAATCTAAAGGGAAAAAAATGAAACAAATGTTTGTTCTACCCACTATCTATTGATGGATATTATTATACATTTATGACCTTGTCAGTTGGACTATTATTGATAAGCATGGGTTAATTAAAAGAGATTTTGTACTCAATCTTGGAGTTGAGTTGAAACTGTCAAATATTTTGCAAATGGGAAATTTTGATATTAATTAGTGGGAGATGATTAAAAGTTAAGTACACTATAATTAATTTACATGTATTGAATTTTGTAAGTGTATTACTTTAAAATTGGCATTTTTGCAAATGACTGATCGATTAGGAAATGTGTTGCATGCTTGCATTAGTTAGATCAACATTGGACTCAAATATGAGAATAGTAGAGAATGGAGAAGATAAATAATTCTCAACTTTTGACTAGTTCAAGTAGTTTTTTATTAAATAGTTGTAATGGAGAAGATAAATAATTCTCAACTTTTGACTAGTTCAAGTAGTTTTCTATTAAATAGTTGTAATTGTTATGAAATAATAAAATAATGTATGTGAATGACTATTTTGCCCTCGATGTATTTGTATTATTACGAGTTGTGCCATCAGAAGTTTCCTATAAATAGGACCTTCAGTTATAATGAAAATCGTACCTAAGAGAATACATTTTCTCTATTCTCTCTCTTTCTCTCTAGTTTTATAACAGTAATGTCTATATGTNGTTATCTTGTATCTTGTGTTTACGACAAAATGAAGTTTGAGGGAGGAGGCTGTTGCTATTCCATATAGTTTTGCTTATTAAAGCTCTTAAACCCCCATTTAAAAATCGTTATTTATATATTACATATATTCAGGGATGGACCTATATGTATTTTAGGGGGGGCCATTGTCCCCCCAAGATTTGTAATTTCTAGTGTATATATATATATATATATATCATTTTTCACATAAATTTACACAATTATGTTAAAATAGTAATTGCATTACTCTTTCTACTAATAATTCAACTGTAATAATACACTTTTTACACTTTTGTATACATTTTTTCTAATTTAAATAAATTGAATATATAGTAAATATGTGAATAAATAAAAAATTGTATTTTTTGAAAAAGAAGACTATATAAGATATGCTTGGAAAGAAAAAATATCAAACTATTAGTATGGACTATGGAGGCAATCATTAATGATATTCATGAGTTGAGAGAGCGTTCAATGTCAATTTGTCAATGTTAAGGTTTAAAACTTTATAATTTATATTGCACCATTATTATGTATAACTTTATAATACAACTTTCTATTTTTTATGTACCATAAATTAAATTTATGATTATTAAAAATATGCAGTCCCCCGCAAAAAAATATTCTGGATCCGCCCCTGCATATATTTTTGCTTATTAAAGCTCTTAAATCTTTGTTTAACAATCATTGTTTATATATTATTTATATGAGGCACTTATTTTCACATACATTTGTTCTTTTTATGTTATCCAAAAATGAGCTTTCTTTATTTAACAATCATTGTTTATATATTATTTATATGAGGCACTTATTTTCACATAAAATTATTCTTTTTGTGTTAGTCAAAATAAGCTAGCATAAGATTGAAGTACATCTTATAACATTTTTAAATGACAATTATGGGCTTGCATTAGTTAAGTCTAAGGGGCTATATCAGATGACGAGATCACATTGGGATACGAGATCATACAAATATTACAATAAAGTGCTCCGGAAGAAGCACAAATGATAATGATTGTAGTCATGAACTACTATACACTGAGAAAAATCGAAATTGATATTATTATTACTGAGAAACAAGTACAAAATGTTCAGATGGTGGAAATATGGAAAAGAGGCAGTAAATACTCGACGAATACAAAATACGCAAAGATTACATAATAGAACCCATAAAAGAAGGGTGCGTCTCGAGAGTGTAAAACTCCGTAACTCTGCCACCCATGAATGATATCTGGGTTCATATTTGAATAATATCTGGGTTCATAATGAGAGATCTAAAGGATCAAAAGCTCTTTTTCGCTTGACCCCTTGTGTTTCCACAGAATCTTGAAATGTGATGCATTCTTGAAGCTTTTTGATAAGTTCAGCAGACGTGTCAGCAGATTTGAATACCTCTCTCATTGAAGGAGATATAAAGGTTTGATATACTCCTATGTCTAAAAATCCAAGCAAACCATGAAAGAAGTTATTAAAGTTCAATAGACCTATGGGCTTGTTATGAAGTTTCAATTCTGCCCATAAAGCAATGATGAACATTGTCATTAGCGTTCCATACCCGCCTGGAAGAATGATAAAAGCATCGCTATTGTTCACCATATCTATCATACAATCATGAATGGAATGAGTTAACATCATGCTTGTGGAATCCTTGACGACCTTTGTTGAAGCTCTACGAAAAGGTATGATACTTTTCACTTCTATCTCAAAACATTGTCCAGCCATTAAGAGACTATCATAGAAAGTATTGCTAGTCCCTCCATACAGCAAATTGATTTTTTGATTCCCCATCTCTTTGACTAACTGACTTACAATATCAATAGTTTGAGAAAAACTTACCAGTTTAGAACCACCAAGAACACATATGGTTTTGATCGGTTGAAGAAAATTATTACCTTGCGAAGACTCTGAAACATCCATCTATTTATTGATAAACTGAATTTTTCAAAACTTTGTGAGGCATATGATTATGATGAACGACTCGCTATTTAAATAGAAAGTTTTACAAAGCAATAAATAATTTTACTGTTTTCTTCTGACAATTGCAACTGACAGATAAGGTGTTGGGGTTTAAATAAATCTTATCTGTCGGCAACTATAAGTTTTTCTAGAAAATTACAGTACAACATACTAAACTGTATTAGTATGATTTTTCGTACTAACAAGACCAGTTTTACAAACTTGATCTTTTGAAATAATATTTTCGAGACTATAACGTTCTTCTTCATTTTTGAACTGAATCCATAAAGACATAAGCTCACGATGCACGTATCCACTAGGATGTGTCTCAAGAATCTGTTGAATCGTTTGATCCAAAGACTCCTTACTCAATCCATCCTTTATAAACGTTATTTTATCTTCTCGATTTTTGGACACGTACCCCACAGATATACATCGTGTGTCACAAGTCCATCGAGCGCATTTGAAGCATCCACCTAACCTTTTTGCTCTTCGTTTCTTTGCATAAGTACTTTTACCCATACCTGGCATATATTTATATGAATTTGGAAACTCTCCAGACAATCGAACTTGTGCTTCGATCAACCATCTAACATCATTTGGAATACCATTATTCATTAGCATCCTCAATCTTTCTAATCGAGATCGATAAATCCTTTTTATGATATTTTTCGGAAGAAAAGAATAATATTTACGGATATTTGAGAGTGCTAAATCCATTTGTAAATTCGGACCTTTGTTAAAGAAAATTGAATGAATTACCTGATAATTTATAGAAAAATATGATGCGTATGAGATACGACTCTGGACCTAAACAGTGTTCAAAAGTATGTGTGTCAGACAGCATGATACGATTCTGGATTTAAACAGTGGTTAAAAGATATTATACCAGAGCCTACACTTAAAGTGCATTTATTGCCGCCGAAAGATGATGTGAAATGTTTGTGATAAACATGTCACAACGAATTATTGTGATCACTTTAAAAATGTTTGCCGATATTATTGATGATGGTTTGCATGATTAACTAATTTTTGTAATATAAGATGTTTTGTTCTCGATTGGTGAAAATTGTTACTAGCTAAATATTTGTGAATCGATATTTGATCAATCTGAGTATGAAAGGGATATGATATATATGGGCCCACTACCCCTCCATGTGTGCTACTAGATATTATGGATCCACTAGATAGCCACATGTGTGTGATTCGTAACCTGAAGTTACGAGATGATTTGATCAAAGAATGTGTATATGACATATAACCTGAAGTTACGAGATGGTTTGAACTAAGGATGACACAAGATGATTATGAAAGAATGAAAATAAGTGTCATATGAAAGTGATGAAGCTAGTAATATACTCACCTGATATGATGAACTCTTGAAAGAAAAATGTGCACACTACAAATGATATGAGTTCAAAGTCCTCCAAATATATGTTGAAATCGAGAACAAAATAGAGACTATATGAACTCCCCTCAAGAAATTCAATACTAAAAATACAGATCAGGGATCTGTTAAGATGAGGGGGAGAATCAATGATTGAAATTTGGAAATGATATATGCATCACACTGAGAGTGTGCGAATCATAAACTGTATGATACTGATGATATGAAATATATGAAATGATATGTTGGTGGAATAATACGCTGGAAGCGTTGATATTGTGCAAATTGAAATCCCCCAAATATGTGATGAAAGGAGGCATATATAAACCATTGATGGAATCAATTGATAATGAGATATCTCAATATACTACGGAGAATAATGGAGATGAATAAGTGTCGACACAAACAAATAAATAGCGCTATATAAATGATATTGACAATGGTGAAATCAGCTAAAATGCGAATATTGGGAACTATTGGCAATAAGACCATTGAAATCAATTGATGATGAGAATGAGTTTAAGAATAAAAGTTGCACAAAGCATGATATGGCATATTATCATCAGTATCAGAAAATCTGAACGAATTTATATGATACTCATGCATATTGTGGAAAGATTATTATGGTGAATTTATGGTATACGCGTTGTACTCTTTTTCCCTTGGTTGAGGTTTTGTCCCATTGGGTTTTTCCAGCAAGGTTTTTAATGAGGCAACAGAAATGGCGTATTCACATGAATAGTGTACTCTTTTTCCTTCATTAGGATTTTGTCCCATTGGGTTTTTCCTAATAAGGTTTTAACGAGGCATATTCATGGTATGATGAGGACTACTGGATAAATGCTATGATTCCTCACGATAATAAGAGAGACTGGAGTAGCTGTACTATTTTTCCTTCGATCAAGTTTTTTCCCACTGGGTTTTCTTGACAAGGTTTTAACGAGGCAGCACGTGGATACTCCACTAAAGATGATTTATTTGAGGGGGAGCAATGTTGTGCTTCCACAATGCTCAGGTTTTGTCCCACCGGGTTTTCTTGACATGTTGAAGCAACGGTACCTGATGGCCACAACATACACTTGAAGATGTACAGATGGGCTTTATTCAAATTAGTTAAAATATGTTTAGAAAATAGTCATTCAAGGGGGAGTGTTATGAAATAATAAAATAATGTATGTGAATGACTATTTTGCCCTCGATGTATTTGTATTATTACGAGTTGTGCCATCAGAAGTTTCCTATAAATAGGACCTTCAGTTATAATGAAAATCGTACCTAAGAGAATACATTTTCTCTATTCTCTCTCTTTCTCTCTAGTTTTATAACAGTAATGTCTATATGTAGNTCAGGGATGGACCTATATGTATTTTAGGGGGGGCCATTGTCCCCCCAAGATTTGTAATTTCTAGTGTATATATATATATATACATATCATTTTTCACATAAATTTACACAATTATGTTAAAATAGTAATTGCATTACTCTTTCTACTAATAATTCAACTGCAATAATACACTTTTTACACTTTTGTATACATTTTTTCTAATTTAAATAAATTGAATATATAGTAAATATGTGAATAAATAAAAAATTGTATTTTTTTTGAAAAAGAAGACTATATAAGATATGCTTGGAAAGAAAAATATCAAACTATTAGTATGGACTATGGAGGCAATCATTAATGATATTCATGAGTTGAGAGAGCGTTCAATGTCAATTTGTTAATGTTAAGGTTTAAAACTTTATAATTTATATTACACCATTATTATGTATAACTTTATAATACAACTTTCTATTTTTTATGTACCATAAATTAAATTTATGATTATTAAAAATATGCAGTCCCCCGCAAAAAAAAATTCTGGATCCGCCCCTGCATATATTTTTGCTTATTAAAGCTCTTAAATCTTTGTTTAACAATCATTGTTTACATATTATTTATATGAGGCACTTATTTTCACATACAATTGTTCTTTTTATGTTATCCAAAAATGAGCTTTCTTTATTTAACAATCATTGTTTATATATTATTTATATGAGGCACTTATTTTCACATAAAATTATTCTTTTTGTGTTAGTCAAAATAAGCTAGCATAAGATTGAAGTACATCTTATAACATTTTTAAATGACAATTATGGGCTTGCATTAGTTAATAGAAAATAGAATTATGCCTAAGATTTTCTAGTACCTTTTCTTTTTCTGGTTAGAAGCCTCTTGTACAGAATGATGAACTACGTCATGGTGTCGATTTTATGTTCTTTTCGTATTTCATTGGTGATTTCGAGTGAGGATAGAAGGTATATGATAGAACTGATCGAGCTGCTTCTACATAGTATAATTATATTATAGATGAAAACCAACAACGAGGGAGAGCCAGAAAAATTGAGGACACCCAAAATCGAAAATTCAAATGGCTAATTTTCAAACCGAGGTAAGATCACTTCACTTGGACTAATTTTTAGTCCCTTTATTGTTATTCAAAATTAGTATATAAGGCACCTATTTTCGACATTAATCATCAAAATGAATCTTTCGATGGAAATTCAAATTTCAGTAAAATCTTATTATGTACATTTAATTTCAACAATTAATTATTATTTTCTATTCAAATTAAATCTAGCCAACTAAATAAAGGAAATATGGTTTTCATAATAAAAACTAAATTAGATTCCGTTGCAAAAACTCATAATTATGACACCATTTTAAATCCGTTGCAAATTTATGTTACTAATAATGTAATTATGACACCAATACTAATCCGTTGCAAAAATTCATTACTAATGCACTAAATTCTAGTAGTGATTAGTAACTGAGGTTCATTTACTATAAATAGCGTACGAGAAATCGTGTAAATGGGTTTTGAAAATTCTGGCAATAACACAGATAAATATTCTTTCATTCAATACTGATAATAAATACTCACTCGACCTAGAAAACGGTAATTGATCGACCTGCTCTAGTATTACACCACTGCATCCGCATTTCATTTGCATATCGTTTTTCGTCCGATTTTCAAATTTAGGTTGTTCAAATGCAATTTATATACATATATATATATATATATATATATCTCTTATCTATATATGAAGAAGTGAGACTTTTTGTGGTGGCGACAAGTGGCGAATTCCTTGATTGACAAGTGGCTATTTTTGTGGCAATTACATGAATACCCTTTTTTTAAGAAGAACAACATAAATATCTTATACAAATTTGGAAGGGCAATGGGGTAAAATTGATGTCCTTAAAACTTTTTTGTGTTTTGACTTAAGTAACACTTGTGCATTCAGCTTTTATGTGGGGTGTATGGTAATTTACCGCGTGTTCTTTGTATCTTTCCGATGCTATCGCGGTATGATTAAAAATGTGTGTAGTGGCCCTCTATGCAAGGTCCATATTACCCCTGAATTTATAATTTTTGTCACTAATACCCTTGCTTGATCGTGACGGAAAAGGTGTTAATCATCTGTTTCCAAGACTAAACGATCTTCTCCCTGAAAATTTGGTGCGACCAATTTTCATTCAATTTTATTTGTTCAACACGCAAACCAGCCGACAGTCTTTTCATTCCCCCCACCCCACTTTTCTATCTTCTGCCAGAGAGAAAAAAATTCGACATTCCTCCACCGCTCTTCCTCTTCCTCCGCCGGCAACATTCGCGGCTGTCTCTTCGGCCATGCTGCCGTCGCCACCGCCGAGCTCCTCCCTGACCACCCGACCGCTGCCGCCTCCCTTCCTACAGCGAAGCAAAATCACGAGGTCCAATAAAGCTCACACAAAACCCTAGATTGTGTTGTTACCTTCATAGACATCTCTCCCCAGCCATCCACCCACAGCCTGCAGCCACTCATGACATCTCTCCCCAGCCATCCACCCACAGCCTGCGGCCACCACCATGAGCAAGCGCCGCCAAAGGCGCCACAAATTCAGCAACTGAGTTCTACCCACAATCCATTCCTCTCCACCACTGACCCAGCAAACCCGCGCGGCCGCAAATGGCTTCTAGTGGCCCCCCGCAATCAAATGACTTGTTGTCCTGCTCTTCGACAAGTTGTCGGAGCCCAACTACATCATCGGCTGGCTCTAAATCGAGGCGGATCGAACCGATTCGGGTCAATTCAAAGGGTTATGACAACGAACAAATGGTTAAAGGTTTGATCTTTAGCTTTCTGATTGTCAGAATTTTCTGTGGTCTTGCAGAAAGAAACACCTTTTGGATTGAGGTTTTATGAATTGTTTCGGGTTTTTGTTGATCGATGTTGTTGGGTTGTCTGATTATTAATTTACTATTAGTATTAATACATTTAAATTTCTTGGATTTTTCTTTTATGGAGCTATTGCTTAGTTGTGCTTAGCTTACAGGAATTTTACATTTGGCATGGACAATTGAGCCTATTTTACTGTTTTTCTGGG